ATTTTTTAGAAATATTTTACAAACCGATAATACAGCTCCATATCTAGCTCGTCACGTAGGTTTAAGGTCTGGTCTACCGATCGAAATACCAGTTTTAACTATAAATTGACTATGTAGATCTGGTTTTCAAGCTGTAATTAACGCAGTTCAAGAAATCAAATCAGGTTTCAAATATTGGTACCGCAAATATGAGTAGATCTTTTTACACTTTATCAGCCGATCCAAGATAGGGAATCAGATTTGGTCTAGATTTAAAACTTGAAGATTCTTTAGCAGCTTGTTTAGTAGATCAATATCTTACTAGAACTCCAATGGATGTCACTGCAGAAAATTTGCCTAAAAAAATAATATTACTCGTGAACAAGCTGATAAGTATGCTAAATTAAGTCAAAAATGTTAGACTGATAGTAATCATATTATCTGATTTGATCTTATATTTCAATTTTTTATTTTAAAAAAAAATTTATCTAATTTTGCATATTTACAGCTGATGCTGCTAGGTGTTTTTCTGATAAGATAACACCAGTTGAAGTCAAAACAAAAAAAGGCTTTGCATTATTTTTTAGAGATGAGCATCCATGTTCACAAACAATTATCCAAATATTATCTAAACTACCTTTTGTATTTGTTAAAGATACTGGTGTAGTAATGGTGGATAATGCATCGGGTATTAGTGATGATGCAGGGGCAATTATTGTAGCTAGTGAAGATGCTGTAAAAAAACATAAAATAGTTTCTTTAGCATGTATTGTTAGTTACTCTGTAACTGGTATAGAACCTACTATTATGGGAATAGATCCTGTACCAGCAATTAAAGAAGCATTAAAAAGAGCCAATCTTAAACTTTCAGATATTGGGCTGGTAGAAGTCAATAAGGCCTTTGCTCCTTAATATTTATCTGTAGAAAAGGAATTGGAACTTAATCGTAATATCACTAACTCTAATAGTGGTAAGTATATTTGTATGCTATATAATTTATTTCTGAAATTTGTGAATCTTACTACAGTATTAACTAGACCTTTCAAATTCATTTACTTCTTAGGTGGTAAGTGCTTATTTCGCTTTTAAGATTTATACTCTAATTCTTGTAAGTTTATATTAATCTACTTTATGATTTATCCTTGTAACCATTGCTCTTGAACATCCTCTAGTTGTATCAGGATCACATATTTTAGAATATTTAACTTATCAACTTCAAAAAAAATAAAATAAAATATACAATTGGATTCGCTTGATTGGTAGTGGTTAAGGTAAGCTGACTATATACTATTCCTAATCTAAAAACTATTAAAATTTTATAAGCTCATCAATTTTTTTTTTCTAGGAATTGCTGTAATTCTCGAACGTGTTTGAAATTGTTGAAATTGTTGAAAAGTATTAGAAATTGATAATATGAACTTTATGTTCTGTTTATAGCATTATATGAGACTTTTTGTTTTATAGAATATTAAAAAGAATTATGCTTATCATGTTATTGTTTGAAATAAGATTAGCTATTTGATTTGATAATAAATTATTTAGTACAAGAATTTAACTCGATAAAAATATGGTTCCATAAAAAACAATGTCTGAAAATTGTCTTATTATTTAATTATTATAATTGTAAATAAAAATTTTCTCCGTATTATATAATTTACTATATAAATCTTTGAACTCTGTCACTTTCACTTCTCAAATAAACCTATTCCACAAAAATAAAAACAAGATTTTATAATTTATACATACATAAATTAGAAATTCAACAATTAATTTTTCTATACTAGGTTGCTTAATATTTAGTCTGTAAATATAGTATAGAATTATAAAATATCTGAATTCTACTTCTATAATTCAATCTGTTTTTTGCTCTATATATTTCTTATTACAATTAACTTAAAATATTCAAATTGGGTTAAGTCTTTGCTTAATAATAGAATATGTAATTATACTATTTTATATACTATATTTTCTATATTTCTTTACACTGCTTTTAATAAAAGGCAAGTTATTAGATAGTTTAATATCTTTCTATCTTCATTGCAAATAATATATATATTAGAAAAGTACAAATTAGATTAGAGCTCCAATTCAAATCAATCTGTTATCTATTTATCTAATAAGCTATATCTGGATTAACTAAATTATCTGATCAGAATTACATAATTTTGGTACTATTCAATTCATCTAGATGAGACAAATTAAATAGTACTACAATCATATGATTTTGATCAATAATTCATAAAATAATTAATTTTTTGTTAAATTATTTTTTTGTCAAATTTCATCTAAACTCAACTTTGATATTTCAAAATATAATCAAGCAAATGCTAACTTCAAGTACAATAGTATTACTGTTCATTTAAAAGCTTTATGCTTTAATAGACTGTTTAAACTCAAGTGATTAACAATAAATAGATATTATATTAGGTAATTTAAATTAAATTTAAGACAAAGAAATGTGAAAGAATTGGTCTGAGAACTATAGATCCTACTGCTATTAGGATCCTGAAGTTTATTATTAGATAGTTTTTATTATTATAACACTTTACTTGTTTTCAGATATATAAAATTGATGTTTATTTATATATTACAAAGAGCTTTGGGATAAAGGCCTGCAAATTTCTAATTTTGTGGCTCGCAATTAGGGTTAAAAATTTTTGCTAGCCCAGCCCAGCCTGCAATTAGGATTAAAAAATTTTTGCCAACTCGGCCTGGCCCACTTTAATAAATTTAAATTTTAGGCCTACTTAGCCTACAAATATATAAATTTTAAATTTTTTAAAATTTAAAATAAGGATAAAAATATTTATCAGATAATTTTTATTTCTTAAAAAAGTAATCTTCTTTCTTTTACTAATATTAAACAACCAATCATATTTAAATAAATAAAT